AATAGTAGTAGTAGTAGTAGTAAACGGATGAAAATTCGCAGCAACATCTGGAAAGCTAGATCAGTTCCTACCCCGACTCTAGCCAAAGGTTTTGCAAATAGCAGAAAAAGGAGCTATTAGAAAATGTGATCTAGTGCCTTTATACTTATTATACTTATGCAGCAGGTAAGGGAGTCCTCCTGTATTGCACCTAATCTTTTTCGTGGCCCAAAGCCAACCGGTACATCACTCCAGTCCTCCTCTTCTTTTTCCTGTCTCTATGGGACATTTTCACTGTCAAAATTCTAAAAGAGAGTTTTTTTTAAAAACAAAATTACCATAGAGGTGGAACGGGCTAGAGCAGTAAGAAAAAACACACGGCTCTCATAGGCCACTCTAGGCTTTCCCTCGGCAATATCTATGCCTTCTCTCCCTCTCTAGGCCGGTGGGTCTCGGGACCGCCCACGGAGTTCCTACGGTCCTTCCGCTCTAGACCGGAAGTGGCGTTCTCGGCGGTTCCCGTCGCCTGGGCAACGCGGCGCTGTTTACTACCAAGGCCGGGGCAGGCGAGGAGCGGCGTTCCTTGATGGAGCCGCAGCGAGCAGGTGAGCGGGGCTTCCCGAGGGCCTTCATCTGCCCCGGCTAGGTGGTCCGTTGCCCCCCGAGGGGCGGTTGTGAGGAGAAATGGAGAACCGCTTTCGCCCTGGCTCTTTTGGACGACAACTCCCATCATCCCGCGCTAAGGGCCGGGCGGGGGATGAAGTTCCTCGGTCACCAAAAGAAGTCGGGAAGGGAGGCTTGGGGTAGAGGGCGGAAGCATGGCTTTCTTTTTGACTACAATTCCCATAATCCCCTGAGGTCAGAAGTCCAAAGGAGATCCTCCGTCCTCCGAGGAGGTGGGCGAGAGAGGCTGGGGGAGGGTCATGTGAATGAGGGCCAGCCTTTCTACCAGGGGTGGGCCGGAGGTGGCCGTTACATCCCATGGCCCTCGGGATAATAATAACAACAACAATAATATCAACAATAATAAACAGTAATAATAGGGACACTATGGATCATCGTGTTCAGCCGCTCTCAGAGAGGACCCATGGAGGGATTCGAACTCCCAACCTCAGAGTCCTAAACCCCTGAGCTATCCGTATTCTCATATTTCATGTGAAAACCCTTCCCATCGGATTCAGACTTCTGCCGGCAGGTTCTTCCAGCAGCACCATCCGGGCCTTTTAGGGTGGCCAGAGGGAGCCCGGCCCCAAAGAGGACCTGCAGGGCATACAATTGCATGTGCTGACTTTTGTGCCCAGGGGCAAAATGAAACACAAGCAAGTGATTAGGTACTTCATTGGTGTCACTGGGCTTGGATCCAGATTCACTGAAGTCCCTTGGTTTTACTGGATTTCCCTTCTGGTAAGAACAAGGATCCATCGATCCCTCCCTCCCTCCTGGGAAGGCAGAGAGCTGCTTGCACGGGGGTCAAAATGGCACGATGATCTGTGGGTACCAAGTATCCTTGGCTGGAGGTTGGTGCTTTTAGGTGGAAAAATGTTTCAAGTAGTTGTTTTGGAGGAGAATTGAGCCTTGCAGAATCTACCCGTTTTTCTTTTTAGCAAGAAGTCCAAGATACACCTGGTTGTCACCTTGAGCTGGAAGAACCTGCCTACAGCCGTTGGTGGTAATCACCGGTTTATGCATGGTGGCTCCATTTGGGGGGACCGGCTCCACTGGCTGCTGATCCGTTTCTGGGCACAATGCCGAATGCTTGTCTGAACCTCTAAAGCCCTCAAAGGCTCGGGTCCAATGTATCTCAAGGACCGCATCTCCCTCTATGAGCCAGCTCGGGTAGTAAGATCATCAGGGGAGGCCTTCCTCTCGGTCCCACCGCCTTCACAGATCCGTTTGGTCGGGACACAGGGAGAGGGGCCTTTGTGGCTGCTCCCAGAGACTTTGGAACTCCCTCTCACTGGAGGCCAGCCTGGCTCCATCTTGGTTGTCCTTTTGCAAGCAGAGAAAGACCTTTCTCTTCAAGCAGGCTTTCCATTAATTGACTGGCTGCCTGAGAGGGTTTTTTTTTTTTTAAAAAAATGTGCTCTGTTGTTTTTAGTATTGATTTTATTCAGTTTTTAATAAAACTTGTTTAATTCCTTTTAAAATATTTGTATAATTACTGCTTTTAGCTTTCAAACAAACGAACAAACTAGCTTCCGCTCCACTGTGCTGTGGCTTGAGGGGCTGTGGCTCAGTGTTTCGGGTGGAGAAAGACCCCGGTTTGATCCCCGGCGTCTCCTCTTAGGGCTGGGAACGCATCCTGCCCTGAACCCTTACTGCCAGAGTGGGCGAGACAAGGGCTGGATGGACCAAGGACCTGACTCAGGAGGAGATCTTTTGCCCTGCTTGCCAAAGCAGGGAATGGCTAGTGAAAAACCACACCCCATATTAACTTAAAATAGCAGATATTTGTTTAGAAAGGTCAATGAAGGTTCTGGCTGGCTGGATCTTAACAGCACATGCCGGTTTGTGCTTCTCCTCTTTGACCTTGTGCTTTGAAAAACATAGTTTGAGATGAAGTTAGATACGGCTTGTCCTCTTGTTTGCTCTCCATGTGTTGTCCTGCTGGGGCTGCCTTGGAGCCGGCCTGTTGCTGGGAAAGCCCAGCTGGCTTGTGCTGCCTTGGGGTCCCCTTTGCTCAGCCTATGAAGCTGAATACACACAACACACCTGCGCTCTTCAAATAAGAGCCAGAGAGATTGGGAGCCCTGCCTTTCCTTTCAGGTGCCCTTCCCTTTTCTCAGGAAGGTTCCCGTTTGCAGTTCCTAGAACCCGCTTGGCTGCTCCCCTGGGCCGTCTGGGCCATTCGGAGACTTAGATCCCTCAAAAAAGGATCCACTTCCTGCACTGGGTGACTTGAGCCCAGAGCTGGGGTGCCTAGTGGTTAGAGCAGAAGACCCACATTCTAGTCCCCACAGAGGCATGAAACTCAGTGGGCAGTTGCTTGTTTGGCCTTGACTCAGGATGGTTGTGAGGACACAGGTGCGAGAGAGTCCTTTTGCTCCCTTTAACGGCAGGACGTGAACATGACAACAGTGGGAATCATAGAAATGGGTGGGGGGAGTTCCACGTCACGGCTCCCCATCCCTGACTCACAATGTCACTGTCTAATTAAAAATGAAATCTCTTTTCTCATGGCTCAAGGCTTATTTCTGGGATCTGTTTTTGTGGAGCTCACAAGCAGTAGCAGACAGGTAAAGGTTTTTTTAAAAGAGCAAACAATGTTGTGCCTTTTGTGGTCTAAGAAAGGTATCACCACAAGCACAGAATCCTAGAAAAGTGAAGTTGGAAAGATGCCTAAACAAGGCCATCAAGTCCAACCCCCTGCTCAAGGCAGGAATGCCATCAAAGCAGATCTGCCAGGTGCTTATCCAAGTTTTTCTTGAAGGCCTCCAGGGTTGGAGCGCTCACAAACTCCTGAGGTCACGGGTTCCACTGTCATACTGCTCTAACAGTTAGGAAGTTTTTCCTGATATTCAACCAAAATCTGGCTTCCTTTAACTTGAGCCCATTGTTGTGCGTCCTGCACTCTGGGATGATTGAGAACAGATCCTGCCTCTCCTCTGTAGGACAGCCTTTCAAATAGTTGAAAAGTGCTATCCTATGGCCCCTCAGTCTTCTGAACATGCCCAGTTCTTTTCATCTTTCCTCTTAAGGCTTGGTCTCCAGCCCCTCTGATCCTCCTTGTCACCCTCCTCTGAACTTGTTCCAATTTATTTGCATCCTGCTTGAAGTGTGGTGTCCAGAACTGGACACAATCCACAAAGATGAGGCCTTGGTTGTGAGGACACGGGTACGAGAGAGCTGTTTACGTCCTGCCGTTCAAGGGAGCAAAATGGCTGTCTCGTACCCGTGTCCTCAAAATATGGTCTTTGGAATTGGGTCTGGAGGCCCATGCAGCTTTTCCTGGATCCAGGGAGCAAGGTGACTCCTCCGTGGCAGCAGACAAACCACAGAGGAAAGGTTTGGAAGAGGGATCCAAATGATGATTTGTCTAGGAATACCTTTTCACTGAGTGGTGAGTGGGATGTAAGATACGAATGATGGACCATCATTGCTCTAGAGCCGTGGTTTGCAAGCTTGGATCCCCAGATGTTCTTGGACTCCCAAGAACTCTGGAGAGCCATGTTCCTGCCTCTGTCTCCAGTCAACTGTTTCCTCTCAAATGGAAGTATCATTCTTTCCGTCCTTTTCTCTTGCTCTTCTCAGGCACGAATGTCTGCGAATCCCTGGAGGTGCAGGTGGAGGTCTGATCCGACTGAGCGGCCTATGAATCTGGGGCAGCTTTCAAGCTGCTAGTCCTCTTGAGCCGATGGAGAAGCTCATGCAGGTGCGTACTTTGGTGCTGGCGGCAGCGGGGTGGGTGGTATGATGATCTTGTCCTTTGTTGACTACCACAGCCCAGCTCTATCTGATGTGTTGGGTTTCCAGAATAACAAGAGAGGGTTTCTGCTGATGGCTTGCTCTGCTGTGGTTTGCTCTGGGCGTGGATCTCAATTTGCAAAGCATTTGCCTCGATTCAAGGACTGCAGGAAGTAAAAGTGTGGTCACTCAGATGGTGGTTTGTGATCCAAGAGTGCAAAACTGCCTGCCTGCAATGGAGAGCCCCTGGTTTTCTTTATTGATTTCTCTGCTCTTTTCATCAAAGTTATTTTAATGCTGTTTTATTGTATTGTATTTATTGTATTTATATCTCGCCTATCTGGTCAAACGACCACTCTAGGCGGCTACCAACATAAATAAATCTGGATAGATGGGGTAAAAATGGAACAAATAAATAAAGAAATGAAATTACTCACTTCCACTGAGCTGTTCTTGCTTGTGGAAGCTCCCAGACCTACCAGAAACATTTAATTGCTCATCTCATCCTTTGTGGCTTCTAAGAGCCCCAGATTTGTATGCCAGCAACAAACCCTCCTTTTCAATCCTGGTTTGTGAAGACGGAGCAAGCTAGGAATCTCAGGTTTTGACGCTACAGTTTCAGCATCAGAGAGTCTTGTAGCGCCTTCAAGACTCGCAGGTTGTGTTTGGCATAAGCTCCTGTGGGTTGTAGCCCATTTCTTCCTCAGGCGAGCGGTGTCTGCTGTTGGACAGCTTTGGGCCGGTGTGCAGGCACTCTGGGAGGTGGGGGCCTTCGAGTACTCAAGGTGAGACATCCATGGAGTCACAGCCTCCCTTCTGCGTGAAGAAACAGGCGTGACAGAGTTACTTCCACTTCTGCGTGAAGCTTGATCAAGTAAGATGGAAACAAAGTGGAGCGTTGCGGGATACTGACCTCCTAACGGCCCGTTCTGTGTCTCTCGCTCTTGCCGATTCCCTTCCGCAGGTGCCTTGAAAAGCAATGGCTGCCACCTCACACCTGAACCTCCGGCGTCCTGAAGGGAAGACCGCCTTTGGCCTCGCACAGCCGCCCCCGCTCACCATGCACGTTGCTCGGCCGAAATCCGCCAAGGGCCGCACAAGGTCAAGTGTGACTTACTCCCGCGGTGCCGAGGCCTGTTCCTCCTGCCCGGTGCCATCCTCCCCCCAGCCTTTGCTGGCTCCCTGCGAAGATGTGGTCGGCGGCCGCCGGGCCTCCTCTTCCCAGCCCGGCCAGGCCTTTGAAATCCGGGATCCCCTCCAGCCGGTGCCCCTGAGAACGTCGTCGTCCTTAAACAAGTACCGGGTGCTCCCTTCCATTAGCAGGAAGGAGCTGAGGAAGAACGCCGTGGAACGCACGCCCGAATGGGCCGGCCAGCAACAAGCCAGCACCCCTCTGGTGGAGGAGGAAGCGCAGGGCTCCAGAGATCTTCCTGGGGGAGGGAAGGTGCCCACCCCACTTCTGGCCAGGCACAAAGGCGGTGCGGGGGAATTCGCGCTTACCCCTCCACCGCCTCCTCCCACGGAGATCAAGCCCTTCAGTGAAACCCGAGAAGGAGCCTCCCTTCCACCAGCCACGGATTGGGAAGAACCCTGCGAAGAGGAGGAACCGAGGCTGCTGCTGGCCATCCGGTCGCCCTCGGGCCAAAGGTTCGAGCACCACTTCCGGCCGGCCGACCGCTTGGAAGCGGTCCTGGCGGCCGCCGAGCGGCACAACTCGGCCACGTACCGGCACTGCAGCATCGAGACGGTGGGCGTGCCTCGGAGGACCTTCTCGGACCTCAGCAAGTCCCTGCAGGAGTGTGCCATCCCGCACAAGTCAGTGCTGTGCATTCTGCGGGAACAGCCCGAGGGAGAGCCTTGAAGCCTCAGGAAAGCAGCTCTTTCCCCCCCTTTCTCTCTTTTTGTATTAAATGCCATTGGGAGGTTGTGCATTTTCTTTCAAGGTCCACTCCGTTTTAGACCAAGCTGGTGCCTTTCCTCTGATGTCACGCCGTTTTTTCCGGCTCTTCCCCGCAGATCCAAAAGGCAGTGTGCTTTCCATTCCCATTTTCTGCCCCAGTTTCCCATATAGTCCTTAGGCCATTTTTGTAGGTTGCAGTATTGTTTCCCAGGCCGTTTGTTCTGCCAGGAAATCTTCCATTTGATTCACGAGGAAGGCTGGTTCTGTGTTTGTTGGGTTCTTAGAACCGGTCCTGTGTTGCCCCGGTGTGATTCCAAATGAGTGAGACAGAAAGATGTATTCAAGCAGGCAGAATCCACCCAAGCCTCTTTTACAAGTCCTGCTGAGCAGCTCAACAGGGTTTGTGCATGAGTCGTTTTGGGGGCTGCACCCTTTTAAAAAAAGTCCTCTGTTCCCGTGCAAGAAAGCCAAGTGAGAAGACTAGAGCTACTTGCCCTAATTCAGAAGGTCTCACTCTGTTCTCCACAGTAGAAGTCAAGGTAAGGAAGACTGCATTTGCTTGGCCTACTAAGGCGTGCTCCTGTCTATTGAACGATTAACTTCTCTTCCATGGGATTATGGCACAAATTTAGTCTAGTGAGATCGGAGTTTGGTAGATGTGTCCTGGGCAAATTTGAATTTCTGTGTTGCTTTAAACTGATACAGAGCGTATGTTTTTTTTCCGAATAGAACCATGTTGATTCAGTACTTTCCTGATCAGTTGGATTTTTCTGAGCTGTGTGCTAAGAGACTTTTTTCTGGTCAGTGGTTTTCTTGCTTGGCCTATTCTGATGAAGATAAGATTGGGCCCTGTTGCGTGTTGTTTCCTTTTAAACCTTAAAATGCCATTTGTATTTTTTTAAACGCCTATAGGCGTCTTTTTAAAAACCTCTCTTATGTGCAGAGCTGTAAATCCAAGTATTCAACACAAGCAGATGGACAGCTAGCCAAAACAGGATTCCTCTTGAGTGTGGGTTTCTGGGCCAAAAGAGTGCGGGGGGGGGGAGGTGGGACACGTGCCCCCCCATTGTAGGTGGCACATGGGCCAAGACTGAATACCTTGGCAATTTTGAGTGAGGGGAGGCGGCCTTTTCTTGCCAAATCTCTGGCCACAGAGTTTGTTGGTACCCTATAGACTGGTGACTTAGATGGAGCAGGAAGCTGACAGCCATGGGCTGCCATCTGGGGTAACCTACCGTAGGAGAATAAGAAGCAGCAGGAAGGAAGCAAGGCCTGATCAGGGGAAGAATTGACAACCCCTGGAGCGCCGCAAACCCCTTTGGTACTCGGTGCTGCTGCTTGAAGGATCAGGGGAGAAGCCCCTCTGTTCTGCCTCGCACGGGGGGGGGGGCAACAGAGGGCCGAAGGAGCAAGAGGGAGGCGTCCTTTTCCTGGTTGCCTCCCAAGTTTGCTTCTTGGGGACATTGAGAAGCAACAGTAAAGAGGGACAGGAGCTGTGTTTTCTACACGGTGCCCAGGTTGTACAGTAGGACTCCTGTATGTGCGCTATCAGTGTCCGCAGTTTCACTTATCCGCAGTCTGAAAAAAAAATTAAAAGAAAAAGCTGAGAAATATGTATTTTCATGCCATATGTACCTGAACCTAGCCACGAGAGGGAGGCAGAGACCATAATATGTATTCTGGTTGCTGTAGAATGACTGTGGCATGGTTTCTGGCTCCCTCTGTGATGAAAATACATATTTCTGGATTTTTTTTTTTCATTTATCATGCTCTGTATAGCCTCTGCGGTTTTCGGCATCCACAGGAGGGGCTTGGAGATAATCCCCCGCAGATACAGGGATCCCGCTGTAGTTCTTGGTGTTGAAGGAGGGGGAGATTTTCTGCCGAAGCCGGGTGTACCTTTTCGACGGAGAAGGCCAGAGAGAGTTGGGGAAATGCGCCCGTGTCAGGCTGTTCCCGCACAACAAATGCCGCAGACTTAGGAGGAACCGTTCTGGGGACAGTCCAGAAAAGAGCTTTCTATGGGGAATTGCTCCAGAGCAAAGGAGGTAAACATGGGGGACTGGATGTGGACTTGGGAGAATGAGGGCCTGGTTCACTAGGGAACCAGTTTAGGGAACGGACTCTCAACCTGAGGAGGAAAACAAAAGTATTTTTGAAAATCACAGCAGCAAAGACCAACCTCATAAGGAAAGGAGTGGGTCCCCGAGGGCCCCCATCGCTGTTCTCTTCCCCTTGACCAGCAGGAAATACCAAAGGGGATAAAACTAGGATCGAAGCAGCAAGATGACCATGTTGGAGGGGGAAGAGGGAAGGGGGTGGTGTTCGCCGTGTGCATTTAAAATAATCTGACAATTTATGTGTGCTGTTCTAGCCAATAAAGCTGTTCTGGGTGTTAAATTATTTTTGTTTTATTCGAGGCAAATGTTAAGTGTGCGTTGCTTTTTCTTCTTAAGGATTCAGATCTGCTGGGACGTTAGCAACTTAAAACTGGACAATGAAGTCGCCCAGTTCAGGGCCTGATTTCAGAGCTTTTAAAAATAGGCTGCTGCTTGGACACCCCCCAAAAAAGGAAAAAAAGACGAAGAATGTACGGTAGACTCCTCGCATCATGGAGCGGGAAGGGGGCCTCTAAGGCCATCGAGTCCAACCGCCTGCTCAAGGCAGGGATCCCAATCCAAGCCGATCTGACAGGGGGTTGTCAAAATTTCTCTTGAAGGCCTCCAACATTGGGAGTGCTCACCACCTCCTCCTGAGGTCACGGGTTCCCTTGTAGTACTGCTCACAGTTAAGAAGCCCCCCCCCCCCGAGATTCAGCCGAACTCTGGCTTCCTGTGGCTTGAGCCCATCATGATGTGGCCCCTCCTCTGGAGGACAGCCTTCCAAGTCTTTGAAAGAGCCAACTCGGTCCTAGCCAAGGTGGTCAAGAACGGCACAAGCAGGCAGTAGTCTGTGAATTTCCTGATAAGGCCACGGGAGTCCTACATTCCCAGTCTTCCCCAAGTTGGGTGGGTATTTGTGGGAGGATCCGGGAGTGACGAGGCTGGGGAGGGGGCTCTAAGCACAGCAGTCCTCCACAGCTGAACACAAAGTCCGTCTCCTTTCCGCAGAGGCACTGGAGAAACCCGTGGCTTAGTGCAGTGGTCCTCTACCTTGGGCCTCCAGATGTTCTTGGACTCAACTCCCAGAAGCCTTCACCACCACCTCTGCTGGCCAGGATTTCTGGGAGTTGAAGTCCAAGAACATCTGGAGGCCCAAGGTTGGGGACCACTGGCTTAGTAAGAAAGGCAGTATTTCTCCCTGGCTATTCCTCTCCAGGTCTCGGGAAGAGCCTGCCCTGTGAATCGCAGCATGAGGGTGCATTTTCAAGAATTTGGCCACCACCTTTTCAGAAACTGGATTTACACCCCATTGCCACACGGTTCGGCAGCTAGTCAGTAAGTTCTCCATTGACCTTATTTGAACAAAAATGTCAAAGGATGGTTGAACATAGCTTCTCCTCTTTGCTCTCCTGCTCTATGCTCTACAGCAGTGGTTCCCAACCTTGGGTCATCCAGGTGTTTTTGGACTGCAATTCCTAGAAGCCTCCACCTCTAGCTGTGCTGGCCAAGGTTTCTGGGAGTTGTAGTCCAAGAACATTTGGGTGACCTAGGGTTGGGAACCACTGCTCTACAGCCATGAGAGGGGAGCTTTTGCTTTCACTCCTCTTAGTAAAGGTAAAGGTAAAGGTTCCCCTTGACAATTTTTGTCCAGTCATGTTTGACTCTAGGGGGTGGTGCTCCTCCTCTTAATCTTGGTCAGTTAGCCTTGGCTTAGCCATTGCATGCAAACCAGCCACTGTGGTTAATCTAAGCTATGGTTTACAAAAACAAGCCAGGATCATTAAAAAAAAAACACCCACCATTTTAAATTGGCTTGCTTCTCTTATTTGGTGATAAGCAACCTGATGGATTTTAGGTCCAGTGCGCTACAATGGCTGTAATCTGACCCCTCTCCATGTTGGGCTGTGGCTTATAGGACTTGTAGTCCAAAAACACCTGGCTGCATGATCTTGCATGGGGCCAGAAATATTCCCCTCATCACGCCATGTACATTTTCTTATTTGCCTGGATGCGGAAAACAGATGACGAGAACCGACAAACCAGTCTGCCTCCCCTCCCTGTGTCAGAGCCTCACAACAAGCTGTCACAAACCTCCCACTGAGGAGGATGGTGGTGGTCCTATTCTGAAGAAAAAAAAAAAAACACCTGGAATCCATTTTTTTAAGGTGGGGTCTTTATTCCAATTAAAAAGTACATCCACAAGAACCGGCGGCTCTCAAACTGTCACTCAGCAATACTCAAGGAGAGTCGGCCCTCTCCCACCCACCAGCACACAAACGTCGGCCACTTCCAAGCAGAATAAAAATAGTTCTCCTACCCTGGCGTACAAAACGCGCGGATTTTCTCTTTAAAACCAGGCCCACCTGGCCGAAAGCCGTTTCTGCACGCCAGGGCATCTTGCAAATGTCCTGAAATTTCCAATCCTCTAAATTTTAGATACATTTTTAAAATGTGTGTTATGTCTGCTCTTTGTTTTACTTGGTAAAAGAATTGTCGTTTCTGTCACAGAACAGAAGAGTTAACAGCCAAAGGTGGTGGGTTTTTCCCCCTCCTAAAAATACAGATAAACACTCAGTTTCCAATTATTAATTCATTTAGCAGAGATCCTCGTGTCGAGAAGGAAGGTGGGACCTGTTCCAACCCTCCTCCTCGTGTGAATAAAAATACTTTAAAATTCTCCTTTGTTCAGGGGAAGAAGAAAAAAAGAAAATCAGGTAGCAGCCGTAAATCGTCTGCAGATCCCACGCTGGCAGTGTGTGAGCTGGAGACACTGAAATAATGTAGGAGTTGTAAAACAGGCTTGGGTGGAAGAGATGGATATGTTTTGCTCCGAGTGGTCTTCACACAAATCAAAGCATCTACACTAGAGATGGGCACGAAACACCAGGTGCTATAAAATACATAGACTAACAATGAGCACGAACCGGCGATTCGTGCCGGTTCGTTTATCAGCCAAATGAGTGTTTCACAGTTCAGAGCCCTGCCTCCTCTAGCAGGTGCCCGGCTTCCCTGCCCAACCTCCTCCGGGTGCTGCCTATAAGCGGGCGCCTGCCAGAGGAGGTGGGGCTCTGAAGCCTCAAACACCTGTTTGGCCAATAAACGAACGGGCACGAATCGCCAGTTTGTGCCCATCATTAGTCTACATATTTTTATAGCATCTGGCTGAATGAAGACGTGCAGTCCCAGAAGGGAACTCCAGACACAACCCACTAAGCAGTGCTCTTGTGCGGTCATGCAGAAGAGAGGCAGCACCGTCGCACTGTTTGGCATGAGGCTGCGTCCTTGGCAACAGCGCCTTGAAAAACTGGCTGGTTTTCACCCGGAACCTCTAAGCCAACATGCCCTCCTCCCCTTCGAGACAGACGAGCTGCGAAGGCGGCTGCTCCCTCGCAAGGCGGCTGCTCCCTCGCAAGGCGAGCCCCTTTCCACTTGGCGGGGGATCCCAGCCCATTGTAGCTGTGAGGTGCAGATCAGCAGGCGGCAACATCAGCTCCTGTCTCTTTAGGCGGGCGTCTGCTGGGCCAGCTCTCAAAGAGAAAGGGGGGGGAGGCCATTGCCACAACAAACAGCTGCAACCCTGAAAGTGCGCAAATGGAAGAAACGCTTTGGTCACCTTCGACTGTTAGCCTACGCTCTCCCGCCGCTTTGCTGGCAAACCCTGCCCGAACATCAGTTGCCCTGCCAGAGCGAGCAAGGCCACCCGGGGTGTGTGTGTGTGTCATCTTGTTCTGGGCCGAACCAGCACAGGGGCGCAGCAGAGCCGAAAAGACCTCTTGGCTATGAAGTCAGCATCTTCCACACACACACACTCAAAAAGAGGCCACCACCGCTCTCTGTCCTTCGGAACAACTACCTGCGCAGCTTCCCCTCATCCCACAAGCATGTCTGGCTATAGACCTGCGAGATTCTCGAGGGTCTCCATGCCAGATTTACAGCCCACCCTCTCTCCCTCACTCCTCAGATCGGGGCAGGGAGAGAAGAAAAAGGACGAGTTAAAGAGCTCCATTAACTCGGCAACGCTACAAAGAGCAATCTCTGGAAAGGGCAGCTGTTCCCCTTCCTTACCGGAGAGAAACCTACAACGTTCTAGCAAACGGAAAATGAAAAACAAAAATCTCAATTCACGTAAACTAATTTTTTAAACAGAGCGAGTTTCTCTCTCTTAAAAAAGCCTACATATAGGTATATATTTTTATATATACTTGAACTTTTAAAACATGTTTAAGAAGTGATTCCCCGTCAGAGATAAGAACCAGTGTGTGTTCTTCCTAATTAATTGGGTGTGTTTTTTTTGGCATTTTTAGAATTAGAGAGATCTTCCCATTTTAAGGCTGAACCCAAAAAAAGAAAAGTCAACAATTATTGTAAACATTTCTTTCCCCTTGAATTTTTTTTTCTGTCTCTAAACCAAGTCTGGTCACCATTTTCTCTTTTTTGTTTGAAGATGAGGTAATTTCTGTGTATTTGTTTTCTCTAAAGATGTCCCCCTTTGTGTGTGCGACCGAGACTCGTGCCAGTCAGAATGCTGATCCCATCGTACTGGGGGGGAGGGTGTGCAGGCCGGCTGCGGCCGACGGCCCATTCAGTTGGCGATTTTCTCAATTTCATCCAGATCATCTGTATCCAGTTTGTGGATCTTCTTGTCTACGTGAAAAAGGGAAATAAAAGTCAGAGCTACAGCAAAGAGAGGAAGATTTCCCCACCACCCAGACAGAACCAAAGAACTGTGAGGTTTGGAAAGGGGACCGAGGGTCATCTGGTCCAACTCCCCCCCAAAAAAATTAGGACATCCCCTTCTTCGTGAAATGTGACATGTTGAACTCCAACTCCAGGGAGCGGATACCTAGAAAAGCAGGCTTTCCAAAGCTTAGGAAGGGGAGGCACAAAGAAGACCCTTTCGTTTCCCAAAACTAAGTGCCAAGATTAAAAAAATTCAAGGAGTATTCCTCTTTTATAAACCCACTGCGAAAGGGAACAGCCTTCTGGAAAGGCCCTGTTTTGGCAAGAGGCCCTGTGCTAACCACAATCCAGTTATTGGGGGGGGGGAACCACACAAAACACTCTAATTTTGAATATGGGATATTGTGCTTCTATACCTCTGGTTCAAGAGGCCTGGACATGGCCCGAGATGGCTGCACAATATCACACATGCGTTGCCACCAGGAAAAAAAAGGATGTCAAACTTTACAAAGCCAAGGGCAGCCTGAACGTTGACAACACAGACGGCAGCAGTCTAGACAGGCTCCCCAACTTTGGGTCACCCAGGCTTTCTTGAACTGCAACTCCCAGAAGCCTTCACCACCCGCTGTGTTGGCTGGGGCTTCTGGGAGCTGCAGTCTGAGATCTGATCTAGAGGGCTTTCGGTAGGAAGAAAGCAAGGGGCGAACAGAGGTGTTGCAGGGACTCCATATGCAGCCCACGAGCGGTATTTAGCACCCCATCCCTATTGCCAGCCTAATCAGAAGGAATAGGAATTTTTGGTGCTGCAGATGTTTGGGGCTACAACTCTCACGGAGCCTGCACGAGTAGTGGGACTGTCAAATATTTTTCATTATACCTCCCAGAATTCACCAGGAAATCCCCCGCCCCCAGTCAAAATTAAAATCCATGTCCTCTGAGGAGTTTCAGCTCATGCTCAATGTGCCTTGGCAAGTCTCTCTAGAGAGCAACTGTCATTCAGCGGAAACAATTTGAAAGGAGTGACAGTGTATAAGCTTCATGGGAGCTGCAAGGGTTCAGGGGACTTTTTGAGAGGCACCCTAATGAGCAGGAGAGGCTACTTACTAGTCCCCTAATCCCTTGCAGTTCCTGTGACATTTATCTCCTCCCATTCACGACCTGCTTCTTCAGGCTAAGGACAGCTGCTCCAGAGACTTGTTGAGAGGCACATCTGTGTTCTGAAACTCTACTGAGGACTTGGATTTTTTTTTTAGCTACAACAACCAGAATTCTGGCTGGGGAAATTCTTGGCAAACCCTGGGAACAGTCGTGAGAAAAATCCGGACGTTCTCTGCCTATGTCTCACACTGACCATTAGTCATGCTGGCTGGGGCTTCTAGAGTCTCTGCCCACTAGGGTCCCTCAGCCCTACAAAGAGGGTCCCCAGCGTCTGTTCTGGAAGCACAGGAGGATCTTATTTCAGACCCCACCCTTGGGGGTGTATCCAAGCAGCTCCTGCAGTCTTCCGGAGGGGAAAGCCTGGCTGAGATCAACTGGCCTCCAGCTCTGACCAAGAAATAAGCCAGGGAAGACGTACTGAAATGCTCCTGGATCCTGTTGAGGATGTTCATGCTGTGCTTGCTGTCCACCATGTTGATGGCCAAGCCCCGCTTGCCGAAGCGACCCGTGCGGCCGATGCGGTGGAGGTACGTCTCGTTGTCGGGATTCCCGTCTTTATCCACCGGGAGATCGAAGTTGATGACCACGGAGACCTGCTCCACGTCGATCCCTAAAGGAGGAAAGGGTGCAAAAATGAGTTGACAGTACATCGCTAAAACATGCTCCTCGGTAAATCTGGGTAGCCACTGACTGCACCCAAATACTAAGAACACAACATGACAGGCTGAAACGGTGTGGTGGTAAAGAAAGAGGACAGAGATACAGTAGGACCGCGGTATCCCCAGGGAGGGGAGGGGGTCCAAAAAACACAGAAATCTCAAACACAATAGTCTCTGGCTCCCTCTAGTGGATCTTGTGGAGGTGGGGAGGTCCTAATGTACTGAAGAAATAGCGTCTTTTCATGCTTTTCCTTCATTTTTAACACTTCTTTCCAATAAGTGGAAGATGGCACACACAGCTCTCCTTCTCCTCCCTTTGTCCTCAGAACAGTCTTACAAGGCTGGCCAGCCTGAGGAAGAGGGACTAGCCCAAGACTGCCCAGTGACTTTCATAGTTCAGTGCTACCTCGAATGTGCTGTGGGTATTCGTAGGTATTAAAAAGAGAAAAAAATTTGTGGGGAGGGGGGCATTCCTAGGGCGTGCTAGGGAGCCACAGACCCCGTTTTGCCCACTGAAAAATCCCTTTTTCATTTTAAAAACCTGCATCAGGGAAGCCTTTTCAGGCATCCCCTGTGGCCATCCGACAATAAATCACAACCTCTCAGAAGGAAAGAATTGTGGGGCTGGAAGGGACCCCCTTTGGACCATTGAGTCCGGCCCCCGTCAAAGAGGTCCACGGAGGGAATCGAACTCCCAACCTCTGGCCCTGCAGCTAGAGAGACCGAAACCATGGCGCTTCCCAGTGTGAATGTGAAAGCTGGACAGTGAAGAAAGCTGAAAGGGAAAGAATGCATTGGTTGAAATGTGCTGGAGGAGAGCTTTGTGGACGCCCTGGACATTGACAGAAAGATGAGCCCGTAGGCCCTGGAGCAAATCGAGCCTGAACAATCTCTGGAGGCAAAAATGTTGAAGCTGTCCTACTTCGGGCACGAGAAGACAAGATTTACTGGAAAAGGCAGTAATGCCAGGAAAAGCTGAACACAGCAGGAAAAGTCACTCTGTCCACCCCACCACATTGGGTACTTGGACATGTGGATTAACCGATGCGCTCTTCCCCATACCAGTGTCTTTCTCTGGCCCTATATGAAGGGCCAGCCGGAAAGACTCTGGCCAGAGAGACGGTCATCATTTTGAAGTCCCCTGATGTGCACTTCAGAGGCCAAGGAGGCGCTACAAAATGGAGACTCCCTCCCCTCCGGGCAAGCACAACTCTTCGCTAAATCTTTGGAGGCTTCGAAAGAATATCGGGGCCAGTGGAACGGGCTCCAGGGTTGGCCTCCTGGACCAGCAGAGGCAGTCAAAGAGGCTTTGCCGGATCGGGACAAAGAGAGGCGCCGTGCGTCGCCGTTACCTCGGGCGCAGACGTTCGTGGTGACCAGAACCTTCTCCTTGCCCTCACGGAAGCGCTCGATCACGGCGGCTCGCTGCTCCACCATCATCTCGCCGCTCAGGAGAGCCACTTGGTGACCTTCCTTGGAGAGCTCCCCTGCTAGCCAGCCGGCCGTCTTGCGAGTCTGCGGGAACGGGAACGAGAAGCGTTAGCCCCCTCTCGAGGAACCAAAAGTACAAGCAATCTTAACGCTCCCGACTCCCCCCACTCTTCCTCTGAACTGCTAACGGGGGGTGAGAGAGGGTGTTGCTCCCTCTCTCACCCCCGTTCCACACATTGGGCCTGTGTAGGTGGATGTATAGCTGGGAGAGATCTTCCTTAACTAAAGAGTTCCTGCTTCCAACCTGGGGCTCACCCAGCTCGCATGCAATAAGACTGATTACATGCCAGTTGGATGAGCCAAGGGACAGAAGGAAGTCTTTAATTACCAAAATTCCACCCCCATGACATCATCACCTTTACACAGGCATAAGTCACAAAACATAATTTTGGCTGATTAGTGCATAAATGGTTCTCATTTTTATTAAAAAAATAAATTACACATTGATGTACAAATCCAGAACAGACCATTCTTGCCTGCTTATCTCCAACCACCTCACTTAGAGTGAGCCCAGATCCAACACTTTTAATTTTGCACGGGACGCACCCTGCCTTCTTCTTTCGCAGTTACTTACATGACAGAAAATCATCGCTTGGGCAATTGTGATGGCGCCGTAGATGTTGCAGAGGGCGTGGAATTTCTCCTCCCGGCTGTTGCAGAGGACGTAGTATTGCTTGATGGTGTCCAGCGTTTCTTCCTCCCGCTTGAGCTTGATGATATTGGGGTCAGGGACCACTTTCTCGGCGAACTTCCACACCGAGTCTTCGAAGGTGGCCGAGAAAAGCAACATCTGGCAATCGCGAGGAAGCATCCTGTGAGAGGGAGGCAGAAAGCAAAGGCATGGCTGATCCTCAGCTGAATCCATCAAGAATGGATCAGCTTTGCTAGGCCACAACGAAAGGACATCTCGCGGCATGCTCTCCGAGCCAACCAGATGTTCCCCGGAGGGGAGTCAGAAGGGCCCACCCCATCTGCCCATCTCTAGATATCCTCCTCGTGTGCCTTCAAGTCCATTCTGACTTAGGATGACCCTTTTTCAGGATTCTTCAGGTGGGAGAATGCTCAGAAGCGGTTTCCTCTTCCCTTCTTCTGGGGGTTCCCTGGGACGGTGCAACTTGCCCAAGGCTACACAGGCTCCTTCTACTCACAGGAGGCCCAGTGGGGGAATCAAACTCCCAACCTCTGGCTCCATAGCCAGAGACCTTAACCACTGAGAGACACTGCCTCAAAACAAGGAAGTCCCAGGTTGCCACAACCATGGACAGACTTACTCTCCAGTCACTGGTCTAATCCCTTTCCGAGTCCTATTGGCCAACAACTGCACCGGATTTTGGCCTTGGGATACTGGAGGTTGTCTCAGAAGACACGTGGAGCACACCAGCTTGGGAAAAAGGATTCCAGGTCAAGAGATTTTATGAATGAAGTGTTGTATTGACTCCTATTGCACCGTGAGGCATTCAAGAGAAAATGTACTCCATTTTCTCTTGAATGCCTCCAGCACTAGAACACTCACCACCTCCCCCCCCGAGGTTCCCTTGTACTGCTCTAACCATTAAGTCTTTCCTGATATTCAGCTGGAACCTGGCTTCCTGCAGCTCGAGCCCATTACTGATGACCAGATCTTGCCTTTCTTCTGTAGGACTACTTTTCAAGTCTTTCAAAAGTGCCATCCTGTCTCCCTTCCATCTTCTATTCCCAAGGCTAAGCAGGCCCAGTTCTTTCCTTCTTTCCTCAAGGGACTTAGTCTCCAGTCCCCTGATCCTCCTTGTTACCCTCCTTTGAACTTGCTCCATTTTGTCGGCTTCCTCCTCCTCTGAGGGTGGTGTCCGGAAATGGACCCAATACTCCAGAGGAGGCCTAACCTGTGCTGAATACAGGGGGACGAACACCTTGTACGCTCTAGGAAAGGTAACCAGTTGCTTCTAAGACACTAGCAAGAAATTGCTTCTCCAGTAATGTAAGGAGCAATGAAGAAATGACTTTAAAAAAAGAGAGCACCGTCTTACCTCTGGATCCGGATGCTCTGATCCTGGTGCCCCTGGGTGGCTATCATGACATCCGCCTCGTCCAGGACGAAGACCCGGATCTTCTTGGGGTCGATGAACTTCAGCTTGGAGCACCAGTCCAAGACGGTGCCCGGGGTGCCGATGACAATCTGCTCGGCAATCTTCTGGCCACGCTCCACTGGGAATGGAGAAGACCGAGACCTGTTTTTGCTGCAGGAGAACCTCGGAGTGGTGGTGGTGGGGGGAATGACCCATGTTCGCCCGGCGAAGGGACAAAGGGACAACTCAAAACGGCAGAGTTATCTCCTCTCCAGGCTTATAAGACAAAGATGATGACAGAGACCTGGGCAGCCACCCTCAAGAACCACTCCCAAGTGGCATTCAGCCCATGGGCAAAAAGAAACAAGGTTTCCTACTTTTCTCCCAGAAGTCAGAAGGATATGATCTGGGTATTTTTACCCTCTTGCTTTTTAAAGGCCTGGAAGGAGCCTCCCTAAACAGTGGGGAACACGTGGCAAGTCAACTCGGAGGCCTCCCAGACAACACCACTTCCAGGTGTGTGGCACCGCACACTTGTGGATGTGCCGAAGGACTCAATGGTCTGATGAGAGCTGCGATGGTCTCCCTCGGATCGCCCCAGTGTTCCTGGACAGCACCTCGGCCAGCACAACCAGTGGTGAAGGCAGCCAGGCGTTGCAGTCCAGGAACACCGGTGGGACCCGAGGTGGGGCACCACTGTTTGAGGACCACAAATGACAATAATTTCTAACGCTTTAATTCAGGCAATGCTCTGGTAGAAACTGAGGGAGGAGAGTTATTTCATTTATTTAAAGTCTAGGCAGCCCCTTGAACTGTAACAGATGCTTATGCTAAAAAAAAAAGAGGTCGCAAAAATAATTTGAAAAACAGATGACACAAGCCACCAAACTCCATCCAAAAGCCCCTAAATCTGTGCTTACGTTTGTTGCCCCGGACGGCGTAGGCCAGCCTTAGCTCCGGGTAAAACTTGCCCATCTGTTCAATCACCTTTCCCGTCTGGAGGGCCAACTCGTATGTGGGTGAAAGGCACAGACACTGGAAAAGGAAAGAGGTGATATGGGGACACACGTCTAACGAAAGAGACTCTTGGCCACCCCCCCTCCCACGGACTCTCCTGCGAAGCTGCACGGCCAGGAGGAGCCTGCGCGGGTGTTCCGACAGACCCCTCGCCCCCCAAGAAGCTCTGCAGAAAGCTTGAATAAGGCCACCTTTGCTGTCTAAGAAGAGAGCAAAGGTGCACAAGGACAGAGGGATGAAAAAACAGACAGGCGGAGGGGGGGAAATCCCAAGCCATATATATATATATATATAACTGCCCTGTATCTCTTTCCCTTCGTATTAGTGTTGTGATTGCCTTATAAAACTAGCTTGTTATTATGCTGAACGTCTTTTGTTGGGCATGGGCTATAATAATAATCAACTAAACAAAGCGCTAGTGAGCGAGAGTGAGAGAATGAGACCACTGATTCTCTTCGGAGAAGCCATACTATGAGCCTCGTGGCGCAGTGGTTAAAACGCTGTACTGCAGCTAAAACTGTGCTCACGACCTGGGGTTCAAATCCCAGGTAGCCGGCTCAAGGTTGACTCAGCCTTCCATCCTTCCGAGGTCGGTAAAATGAGTACCCAGCTTGCTGGGGGGGCAATGTGTAGCCTGCATAATTAAAATTGTAAACCACCCGGAGAGTGCTTGTAGCGCTATGGGGTGGTATATAAGTCCAATCAATCAATCAATCAATCAATCAATCAATCAACAATCAATCAATCAATCAATCAATCAATCAATCAATCAATCAAACAATCAATCAATCAATCAATCAATCAATCAATCAATCAATCAATCAATCAAGGGTCTAGCATCCAGGGGATTTTACCTGCGGATATTTGTTTTCGGGTTCCACTCTGCTAAGCATTGCCAAGACAAAAGCCGCCGTCTTGCCCGTCCCAGACTGAGACTGCGCGATCAGGTTCTGGGGACTGGAAACACGCACCAAAGTTCGAGAATTAGTTGCCATTACAGTGCCGAGGCTCAAAAAGGAGCTAGTAACCACTACGGTTCCTGACTCACAGAGGAGGGGCAGGATCTGTTCTCGATCATCCCAGAGTGCAGGACACACAACAATGGGCTCAAGGGACAGGAAGCCAGATTTCGGTTAAAGATCGGGAAAAACTTCCTATCTGTTAGAGCGGTACGACAAGGGAACTCATGACCTCGGGAGGTGGTGGGCGCTCCAACCAAGGGCAAGGAAGGTCTGCATCTCCCACCCAGGTGGGAGCCTGCCTAGAGACACAGGTAGCCCATTTGGAGTCTTCCCGCCCCCCCCAATAGAAGAAATATGGCGTCCAGAAGAAAACCATGTTGGTGTGCATAGAGGAACAGGAAACATGCCACCCATCATCGCTTTCTTGCACATGAGCGCCGTCGGTTCTGGAAGGGCCAAAGCCCAGGGGCAAAGCGCAGACTTCACACACCCAGCAGGTTTTGGGTTCAATCCTGAACATCTCTAGAAGGGGCTGGAAAAGCATCCTGCCCGAAGCCCCAGACAACCGCTGCGAGCCACAGCTAACCAGGCGGTCCTACTCCCTGGAAGAAGGCTTTAGTTCCGCCCAAGACAGATTCTCCCCTTCCTTCAATTCGGGCGAGACCGTCTCCTCCGCGAGACCCCCTGAGCACGCAAGGTGCAGGACAGTCCCAAGGCTCTGCATCACAGCAGCCCCATCACGGCTTCAGAAAGGCACCCAGCCTACTGAGGGGGATGATGCCCAGCAAGGAGAGGTGACTCGGACGAGAGGACCTGGAAGGGTGATTCTTTGGGACACGGGTCTGTCCTGGGGCCAGCCAACCTCCACCTCCAGAGCCCTCTCCTTTCCCCCGGCCACGGGAGCCTGTGATACGTACGGTTCTGCGAGCATCATGGGCAGGGCGTTCTCCTGGATCTTTGATGGCCGGTTGAAACCCATGGCATAGACGCCCTGCAGGAGTTGGGGCTTCCTGGAAGGCAGAAGGGAAGTTAAGGAAGGACCCCCAGGAACCGAGCCAAGCCGAGCTCCATCATCGCTGCCATCCCCAAATCGATTGCACTTCCTTTTCTGGACTCCTCTGGGCCTGTTTCCTCCTTTAACCCCCAGGTAACCCATGAATGACTATTATAAGCGACTAATGGAGCTTTCCGCAAGAGCAGAAGCTGTCCCACATCCAGGCGGGGGCAACCACCATGGCCCGAGGGGAATCTGTCGTCCCTGCTGGTTCTGCACCTCCGAGCCTTGCCCCCCCCCCCCAAATCTGAAGGCACAGCAGAGGCAAAAGAATAAGTTCATACACCGCAGGTGCCATATCTCCACAGGATCGGTATCTGTGGTTTCACTTATCCGCAGTCTGAATATATTAAAAGAAAAAAAAACCTAGAAATACATATTTTCACGATGCATTTACCAGAACTGGCCACGAGAGGGAGGCAGAGACCATGCTGTGTATTCTTGTTGTTGATGTATACAAGACACAGGTACCAAAATGCTTGCTTTTAGCTCTGTTGTATAATTAATAACAATAATGTCCTGTCAAGTCAGTTTGGATTTAGGATGACTCTTGCCAGGGTTTTCCAGGCAGAGAAGAATCCACAGCGGTTTCCCCTTCCCTTTTTCTGGAGGTGCCCTGGGACAGAGCAGCTGGCCCAAGGCCACCCAGGCTGGCTCTTCTCTCTGGAACCAAACTCCCAAACTATTGAGCTGTCTGGCCAAAGACCTAAACCACTGAGCTATCTGGCTAGCTTTAGGGCAGTAAAAAAGAGGGTATCTTCTTAATCAGCACATGTACTGTTTGGTTGATGCAACTATTAAAATATATATATATCATTTTAGATATACAGTAGAACTAATCCTTGCCCCAGATCACAAACATATCACGCCCACCTCTCTTCTGCACAGATTCAAGGAGGCAACGGAGTTCTGTTTAGCTCCCTGCGCTCACAAATGTGTGCGCTCACACAATACGCACATGTGAGACTCAATTCTGCTGCTCAAGCTATGTTTTTGCACCATGTCTTTGGGGTGCATGGGGGTGCCCCCCTGCCCAGCCAGAAACCTTCAAAAAGCAGCTTTCTCAAGCTGTGCAATGAACTACACCTTGTGTGGATGTGAAAGCAGCGCTTACGGTAAAGACCCCCTCCTCTGCTCACGGCCATTCACCCTTGTTGAAAAAAACATCCCCGACAGTCACTTTGTGTCTGGGTGAGAAGAGGGTGACTGATTTTGGGGGGGGGAGCACTTTGTGGGGTTCACTTTGTGAGCAGCAGAGAGCTCAAAAGAGGGGATCCCGCATAGACCACCTTGATTTCTGCCAGAAGCACCACACCCCACATTCATAACCCAGAGTGTCTGTTTGTTTTTTGGAAGAATCGAGTCCTTGTATCTTACGTTAGTGAATTAAGATGGCAATTTACAAGTCTGAGAAACAGAGGCCTCTGCAAAACCCTGGCCTTTCACGGCAGTTGCCAGGGAGACAAAAGTTGCCACCGCGGAAAAGCAGAGACTCGAGTGTAATTAGTGCCATCTTTGAGGCTCTCAGCTAAAGCTGTGGCCGTCGGCAGACAAAGAGGGCCTGGCCAAAAGCATCTTGACGCACTTCGAGAGGGAACAAAGCCACCTCGCAATGCCGGTGGGCCAAAGATCGGGCAAAAATGCCACCCGGAAAGCAATTAAGGGAGGAACGGCAAGGAAGACACCCGGGAGCTGAACATGCAGGGAGCGGCCACGCGCCAAGTGTTCGTCCCGCCAGCCCCCCTGGCAGGGACAACGCACAGAAGGGCACGGCCAGCTTCGGAGGCCTGATGCAGGAAGCACAAAACGGTAAATTGAGAAAACTGTGCTGCAGATGGGGAGGGGAATCAGGAGTAGATGTAAATCCACCCCAAATTTGAAAGGGATTACACGGAGTAGATAAGAATCACCTACATGCTCATTTTGTTTTGAATGCTGATAGTTACTGTTCTGTTTGCCTCCAGGACCCCTACAGCACAATGGCAAAGGGGCCTTCCCTGTGGCTAGTGCCAGAGACTGTGGAACTTCCTCCCACTGGAGGCCAGCCTGGCCCCGTCTTGGCTCTCCTTCCGCAAGCAGGCCAACATCTTCCTCTTCAGGCAGGGTTTCCCTCAGTGACTGGCTATCTGAGTGGGGTTTTTATTGCCCCAGGCGATACTATCTTAAGCGGGCATTTCCCAGTCATTCTGTCTCCTCTCATTACAACAGGACCCCTGTATCCACGGGATCAGTATCTGCTGATTCACCTATCTACAGTCAGAAAATATGCAAAAGATTAAAATAAACATCTTAGAAATATATATTCCTAAAGATGAAGTTATCAGAACTGGCCACAAGAAGGAGCCAAAAACCACGCTATGCATAGCATTCACAATTGCAATAGTGTTTGCTCTAATTTGCGTTTTTCAGCCTTGGCAAGTGGGGGGATTGGAACGGGCTCCCCTGTGGATACAGGAGGTTCCTACTGTACAAAGAAAAAAAAGGCCCTTGAGTTCTAGGGCAGGTAGCGAGGCGTTTAGGCTGTCTCAGCGCTCTGGCTGTTGCTTCTCTTCAGTCCCACCCAGCCTGGTGATGGATTTTAGGAACTGCAATCCAGAAAAGGAACAACGATGGACAGAGGAAAACGACAGGGATCTATGTGTGTGCGTCTAATGCTGCCTCGGAGGGAAAGCCGAGAGGGGTACTTACAGGCGCAGCTCCTCGAAGGACTTGACGGAGTAGAGAGGCGACGTGGGGTCCCTCTGAAGCACCTCTACTTGGTTAGTGTTGTCCACCAGGTTGCTGCGGATCAGCTTGTTCAGCAACGACTGGGCCGCTCGGTCCTCTGACGGTGCCAGGATCCAAAAAAGGGGGAAAGGAGTTGGTGACGGGAGAGAGAGCAGCTACCTTCAGCATATCTGATTGCTGACACTCTCAAGCAATAATCGTGCAATGGATTTCAGTATTGAACTAATGGGTAGCTCTGAGGTCTAGATCTCTAGCTGTAGAGCCAGAGGTTGGAAGTTTGATTCTCCCACTGGGCCTCCTGGACAGGGTCTGGACTTCATGATCCAGAGGCTGTCCCTTCCAGTTCTGTGGTTCTAAAATGATAAGATTATAAGCTCCCGGGTCCACAAAGCACGGCTTTTGTTCTCTGAAAAGTACGTTTTCCACGCTATGGGATCAGCAGTGGAAGCGTGATATCCAACGACATCTAAATGTTACAACTGCGCCTGTTTCCACCAAGCGCTTGAAGGTATGGTTAGCTTAAAAGAGGGTTTGGCTGTTTATTGCCAGGGGCGGGGAGTCCATCTGCCGGGAGACCATTCAGAAAATCTACCAACTGGGAGGGGGGGAATCTCTATTTTTCTTTTTTTCCCTCCCCTTTTAAACTGAAATAATTCTAGGCTAGTTCATGCTCTGAATGTGCCTACTGCAAACACACATTAGTGCCACAGGGAGTTCAGAGTCTCTTATGAAGGCACTCCAGAGTCATTGGTTATTGGCTCAAAGCATTAAGGACCAGAAGAGTTTCAAAGTTGAAAAGAGGTGGCAATTAAACATCCTGAAAATGGGCCAGTTGAGTTTAGGGCTAAGGTTTAAGGAGGAACAGGGCAAAGGACGTGAATTCATTGCTCCCTTGGATTGCACAGGTCTGAACAGCACGATTTTGGCTACACATGGATATTTTTTCCAATAAATAAATAGTCAATAAACACTGTGCTCTCCTGGCCAGCCAGAACCCCAGGAGTTCAACACCGAAGGCTCCAAAGTGGCCTCCTTGCCCCCAAACACAAGATCTCATCACTCAAGCCTCTAAATGCAGTGCCCTCATATATGGGGCTTCAACAACTTTTCACTGACGAAGCCCCACATGTTTTCCTCTGCTCTTTGGCCTCCACCAGCTCAGTGGGTTACAGATCATGGAGAGATCCAGGCCACGCCGAAGTTTCTTCGGTCGATACCTTTGACCAGTAATCAGAGACAAGGGGCTGTGGAAAGTTAAGGAGGCTGGCACATCAAAAGGAGCCCTGGTATGCAGGCCAGGAAAAGTTCTGGCATGGAACGGAAGCTCTGGTTTGCCGATTAAGCATGGAGGAAAGGCTGAGTCAACCCAGGATCAAATTCAGGTTATGAGCAGTCTTGGCTGCAGGACTGCAGTTTAACCACGGCATCACGAGGCTCTCAAGTCTTAGACAGAGATCTTCTCCCTCACTTAATACCTGCCATTTTTCTTTTCTTCTCAAATAGAGCCTTGTCTATTGTGGAAAGAATATTCAGAGGCAAGAAAAGAAAAAAACAACAACCCAAAACCCAGCTCTCCTGGGTTTTGGGATATGAACCAGTGGGATATGAACCAGGAGTGTCCTAATGCCTGCCATCCAGGGTGAATAAAAATCCATGATTTTAAAAAACTCTGATTTACATTTTTAAATTTTTAAAATTGCATCTTTTTTTAAAAAAAGAATGAAACGTCAAAAATATCTGATGTTTTAAATTTAAATCATTTTAAAACCATTTCAATCAGATCTGCCCTGCGGCTACTATTTCCGCTTCTATTCCGAGCCAAAGAAACTCACCTTTTTCCTCCTCTTCAGCCTTCTCCACGTTGTCGTCTGCCTTGACAACAGCCCCTGGAAAGAGATTGCAAGCAAAGATTACAGGAAGGCCAAACGGAACAGGGCAGGCGCAACTGAACACTCGGCCTTGCTGGGCTCCGGAAGGATTTCTGCTGCCTGATGAAGCCACCCGTGCAAGGCCCTCAGCTCCGCAACCGTTTGAGCCCTCTGGAGGCCAGGTTCAGCCGCTGGGCCACAAGTTGCTAACCTTTTATTGAGATGCACAGAAGCCCAGTTCCATAAAACCAGTGAGAATTTTGCCATCCATCCATCCATCTCTATTATTACTCCACCTTTCTATCAATACTAAAAATACATTCCAAGAAGTGAGGCATAAAAACTCAGGCAGTCACAGTCATTGAGGGAAACGTTTGCCGGAAGAGAAAGGGTCTTGGCCTGCTTGCGGAAAGACAGCCGAGATGGGGCCAGGCAGGCCTGCCTCTAGTGGCAGGGAGTTCCAAAGTTTCTGGGAGCAGCCACCAAGAAGGCCCTCTTCGGTATCCCTGTGAGAGTGGTGGGGCCGAAAGAGAGGGTTGCCCCAATTGCCTCAAACAAATAAAAGCATGCACCCGCCAGAAGGTATTCCAAACCTCTTGAGCCAACTGTGTGGATGCTTTTAGATCTGTGGTGACAATTTGGCAGGCCACAAGACATGCACGACCCAGGAACAATATGTCCGACGTGGAACCTCCTGAATATCGACAAAACACAGCCCCCAAATGGACCATCCTGCCTCAGAAGGTTCCAGGGGGTGCCATCCTCCATTTTAATGTTGCTTATCTGGGCTCAAAGCAGCATTTTTCCAAACTAGAAAGAAGCCTTCTCATCATGTCTGGCTTTGAAAGAAGGGACAGGGACAGCCATCTATGTCTCACAAGGGAGTGGGGGGATGACCCCCAGGTTCTCCCGCAGCTGCCCACCACTGATTTAGTCCTTTTTCTCATGGGGGTAAAATCCTGGCTACAAACTGAAGCCAGAGCCAAAGTCTCCTCCAGCTGTAGGAGCTGATTCATAGGGAAAAAAACCTTTATAGGTAAGCATCAGAACCTTGAAGAAGATCGATCAAAGTTCGGGCGCTGACCTATAAAGCCCTCCACGGCTTGGGTCTCCGTGACCTGTCAGAGCGCCCCCCCTTGTCCAATAACATCAACCTGTGCCATCAAATCCTCCCAGGCAATGCCCCTCCGGGTGGGGTTACCCTGAAGGAGGCCAGGAAGTCCTCGGTGAGAAATCAGACCTTCTCAGTGGTGGCCCCTGTTGTTTGGAACCAGTTCTTAGTCAAGCTGCTCGTGGCACCCTCCACCTCCAAGAGGCAGCAGCTGAAGATGCTTGCTCTTCAGAGAGGCTTTTGATTGCTACTTGCCCTACTATGGGTTCTTGTCTGTGATGTGCCAGTTGATTGTTGTTCTTGTTGTTGGGAAGGAAGGAAGGAATCTGTAGACTGGGTGATGGTGACTAAAACCAGGATGAACTTACCATTGGAGTCCGGCTTGAGTTTCTCATCCTTCAGGTTCAAGGTGCTCAACTAGGAGAGGAAAGCAGAGATGAGAGGGCTTGCCAGTTAAAAACTGCAGCAGCTAAAGTATCATGATTAACATTTTGCATCAATTTGCAAAGTACATTTCACATCTTGAAACTTTTTGGTTTACTCAAGCCAAATCCTTTGACCCTTACAGACAAAAAAGGAAGCTATCATGTGCAGTAAGACTCCCCTATCCGAGGGATCAGCATCTGTTGATTCACTTACCCATGGTCTGAAAATATTCAAACGAAAATCCTAGAAATATATATTTCTAAACATGGAGGATAGGTTCCTGTTGTTGTTTTTTAAGCCCTCTAGAGAACATGATTCAAAAAGAGGTGTCAGGAATAGAGGGTGCAATAAAAGTGCAGGATTGTGCTTTCTCATTCTTTCTAAAAAAACACCCCACTCAGACATATTTTTTGTATATTTTACTACATCCCTACCCTTCTAGGAGCAGCGTATGTCAAGGGAGCAGGAGGGGTGTCAAGGGAGCCAACGTGTCATGCCATGCAACCTTTGAAAAGGTCTCTTTGTTTCTAGAATTTGCTGGCCATTGCGGCTTTGTATTTATTCCCTGGAAGGATGGGATTCGTACCGCAGGCCTTGAGCAATGGGCACTCGGTTTCAGTCCGGCAGAGGTCAGAAATGTGGCTGAGTCAGAACTTGGGCGGGTTCCCTGCCTTGAACTAAAATGCCATTTAATGGACTGACCAGGCCACTAACTTCGCTCAAATAAATAATATTCAGGTTTTTTAATTATGGCAAAACCCTGAGAAAAGCATTTGACGAGTAGCTTTGGATGGGGACAGTTGCCCTTCAGCAGGCACACAACATTTTAAATGGATACGGAAACGGTCTCTTGAATTAATTACAAATTACTTCCACCAGTTTAATTCCACTTTTCTCATATGACTTCATACAAAGAAGCAACATCAAGAAACGTAACCAATCACTGATAATAAATCATTACACACTTATCCCCTGTGCTTGATGAGTCAATTTAAATAGATGGTAATGTGCTTTTTAAAGTTTGTGTTTATGTGTGCATTCAAAATATTTTTACCCCGTCTTTCTCTTAAAAAAGAACCCAAGGCTGCGTTCGAAGTAACCTTTTCTCCTTTTTGCTACTGTATCTTCTCTCATCTATTTTATCTGTACCCATGCATGATTTTGCCATGAAGTACCCTGAATCTCAATTTTGGGGGAAAAGTAGAATCTTTCTTTCTTTCTTTCACATCATTCAAATATTTAAAGCAAAACACAGTTAAGTACACAAATACTGAAAAGGATAAAACAAGTACCAGCCTAAAAAATGGTAAGAGTAATACCAGAAATACACTCAACACAGGAAAGCACAACCATCCAGTTAAAAAGTCCCATTTAGGCAGCCACTCAATGGAGGGCAAGCTTGCCTGGAAAGCAAGGTCTTGGCCTGCAAAGATGGAAGGAGAGCCAAGATGGGGCCAGCCTGGCCTCTTGTGGCAGGGAGTTCCAGAGTCTCTGGGAGCAACCAACGAGGAGGCCCCTCTGCCGTGTCCTATCAAACGGATCTGGGAAGGTGGTGGGACCGAGAGAAAGGGCACCTCCTGATGATCTGAACACCCGGGCAGGCTCGTCAAGGGAGACGCGGTCCTTGAGATCGCTTGGACCCGAGCCGTTGAGGGCTTCATAGGTTAAAACCAGCACTTTGAATTGTGGCCGGAAACGGATCAGCAGCCAGTGAGGCTGCTGTCACAGGGGGTTTTATGTGAGACACCCACCCCCCGTGAACCATCCGGCTGCTCTGCTTTACTTTGGACCTTATGGCACAAATTAGATCAAACAGATCACTAGGAATCGTGAGCAAAGTTTGTAGAGGGGTCTTGCTATATCAAGGGGGGTCTCTGCCCCTCCCCGTAAGGCACCGCCACCCACCAGGTCTTGTCCTCTGTTTAGGAACCTCGCTCTGCTCGGTCTGGATGAGGCCTCCTTGCCTTTCGGTGCCTTCTACCCTCAGCAAAAGCCCAGCAGGAATGAACCAGGGACTCGTGGGAAGGCACTGCTTGTTCACCTGAAGCTAGGATCCCAGCGCCCCTGGAGGGGGGTGAGGATTTGTGGTGTGCCCCCAGAGCAACCTAGGGTTTGGGACACCACTCTCTCTTTTTTAAAACCAATCATTAGGAGTGGTACTTTGTGATCCTTCTGAGCTCTAGATGTTGTCCTCTTTAAAGGAAAAGACAGGATCAGCCTCTAAGCTAGCAAGTGGCCAGGAAAGGAGACGCTCGGCTCCCTTCCAGGCCCCTCTATCTCTCCTTTCCGCCCTTGGGCATCTCATGTGCTTCATAAACCCCCCCCCACACACACACACACAACAAGCCATGGAGGCACGACATGTCCAGGGCTGGAATCATGCTCAGAAAGATGTGGGTTCAAATCCTGCTCTCAGCCCTGCCGTTTCACCCACCTCACCAGGTTAGCTTGAGGAGGCGAACACGGGCCTGCATGGGATGGGCTGGATGGCAGGCGACCCAGGCAAGCACCCCCACCCCGCCAGAGGCGCTGGGACTACAACACCCATTTTCCCCAGCCAGGGATGCCAGGCGGAGGAGCATGGGAGCTGTCATCCCAACAAGCAGCCTTCCTCCAGACCGAGGTGGGGCCAAGACTCTCAATGTCCCCACCCCCCGCAGCAGCCAAGGGCCTGGGGAGGATGGGCACTGTAGTCCCGGCGCAGCTCGGGGGGGGGGGGGGCTGCCGGCGGAGCCTTTCCGGCCCCTCCTTCTCTCTCCTCACCGACTCAGCGGCCGCTTCCTGCTCGTCCACCGCCAAAGCCCACGAGTCCGTCGCCATGCTCGCCCGAAAAAGACCGAGAGAGAGAGATAGAGAGAGATAGAGGGAGGGAAGCCGGAAGCCGAAACCAGGTCGGGCAGACGCCTCTCGCTGCAGCGGCGCCGCCGGGAGGGACTGCGCAGGCGCAGCAGGTAAGGAAGCGGCTGCCAAACGTCCCGTTTCCCATAAGGTCCCCGGGAAACTCCAGCCGAGCGCCTGGCGTTCCGGGAGCTATTGTTACTCTGTATAAAACAAATAAAGGCGAAAAGAGAAGTACTTTAAACTCAGAACACATAATCCAGTAAGTATGAAGCGTCCCCTTTTGATAGAACTAAAAGGTGTCCTTCAGAGCCTGGGCCCCTTTTCTCTCACCAAGGAAAGCCACTCTTGGTCTTGGGTTTTTTTCCCTTTGCGTTTCTCAGAGACCTTCTAAAAATAAACAACACCTGTTCATTCTTGCAGTAGTCATTATTCCCCCCCCCCCATCTGTATTGGTGTCTCTAAACATGTTTCCCATAGCCATCCTTGGGCACAGCCAGAAGCTATTATTTTTATTGCATATTTTAACTCGTCTACACAGTTGAGTGGGGTTTTTTCATTGCCGTCTCCAGTGCTGTTCACCTATGTAAAAATATAACTGGGAAAAGTTATTTTGGAGTGCTACATCTCTTGGGGGGGGGGGTTATGGGAGTTGGAAGCGTGTGTTAAGTGCTCTCATGGGACTCCCAATTTATGGCGATCCTAACAGGGCGTGTGAGATGTTCAGGCGGCGGTTTTACCCTTAGCATCTCCAGTGAGTTTGCATAGCTGTGTCAGGATTTGAACCCAGATTCCTTGAATCCTCATTGGATATGAAACAAATGTATTTATTGCATAAGCTTACATACCACCCCATTAGTGCAAAGCACCATTCTGGGTGGTTAACAAACAATCAAATCAAACACCTAATAAGATATCGAACAAAGATAATAGATTAAGGAGAAATAATATCAAAGGGTCAGTTTCCCCAAGCTGCGTGCGAAAGTGTTCTCCATGGTTCCATCCAATTCGGGGTCTTCTAATTTTCTCTGTCCTTGCATTCAGCTTATTGCAAAATAAAACAAAGATGGGGAGAGATAAACTTTTAAAAAGAGCTTTGCGGGATTTGAGACAAGGCTGGTCAAGTAACTCCAGCATTTTAGGTTGGTCATGTCAGGGTCAAAAAGGAGAGCAGGGAGCCGGTCCTTGAGCTGCAATTGCAAAAGAGTGTGGACATAATGTTTGTGTGTGGATGATTAGCAAGTGAAACAGATAATGCAGATTTTTCAACAATGCTGGTCTAAATCACCAGTGTCTTTACGGTGAACCCATGAGCCTTAGTGTCATTGGACAGCAGAGCCCCTGGCATGAAACCCACCAGATATAATAAAATCAAATTTCTTCCTCCAGCATCTTGGCTCTAAGGGACCCAAAGAAGCAGGGTGACTCCATGAGATGTCATCCTGAGACCCAGGTGGCACAACAAACGACCAGTTGCCTGTGGAAAGTTCGTCAGAGAAATGGAAATGTAATTGTGCTTCTTGCCCCCATGTCCTGGTAACCGATGTACAAAAGGGGTATTGCCTCCTAGACTGCAGGTGATCCAAATGCCCATGAATTGATATGATGTTAACGCTGCTCTTATGATCCCCTCAAGTTGGAATGGACTTATAGCAACCCTAATAGGGCATCAGAGGGACATAAAATGTTCATGGGGTGGTTTTACCTGCTTCACAACCACCCGCCCACCCATGCGTTTTCATGGCCGAGAGGATATTTGAAATGAGGGCTCCCAAGTCCTCGTCTGTCTACATTTGGGTAGTAAATCCCATCACTTAACTGTGCTTTTTAAAAAACTATTTATGTGTTGTATTTTTCTTAAACGCAAAAACTAAAAAAGTTCTCTGGGAAACGTGCAAAACTTCGAAAACAGATAAAAGTAAACTATCAAAATGATAGAGCCACCATATAGTAAAACTAGCAGCAATTTAGAAACATGACAGCATATATAAAACCCAAGTGTTTGGGGGACAAAACAAGGATCTAATTAAGTGGTTCCCAAACTTTTTAAAAAAAATTCACAGGTCCGTTTGTTTACTGGCCACTGGCTGCGGCTCCCCAGTACAGTAGGACTGCCATATCCACGGGATCAGTACCCACGGTTTCTCTTATCTGCTGCCTGAAAAAAATCATATCAAAATAAAATGAAGCACATCAATCCACTTTCCCATAAATCCATTTTCCCACGGCTGGCCACTAGAGGGGACCAGAAACAATGCTATATGTAGGTGGCTTAATCATGGACAAGCTTTTCACCCAGGGAAGCAGCTTCTGGGAAAATGGAGAAGGGGGCATGTTTATTTTATTTTTATTTTTTTGCAGGGAGGGTGCAGGAAAGGCTCCCTTGCAAACAGGAGGGCAGGAAACCCGGTCTTTTGGCATGACCGGCCCGGGGCTTCCTCTCTGCACCATGCATGGACACCAGAGAAAGTGCAAGCAAATGCTTTGTGATACTTTGGGTGATGGAGAGAGGAAGGGAAGGGGGAAGGAGGAGAGGATTTGCATGGTGCCTCTGAAACTCTGATCTAGTTGGATGCTGTTCCAGGTCACCTGAAGCTTGCAAGATGCCTGCTTGCGTCTCAGAGGGAAGGCATATATTTTTCATCCTCCCAGGGCTGAGTTCAAGTTGTTTTCTGTCATCATATGCGCCACGTTCTTCTAGCTTGATGGCTTAGCCAGAGGTAGGGTGTTTGCTTACCCCACTGAGCCTCCTTGACAGGGGCTGGATGTGGTGATCCGCAGGGTCCCTTTCCAGCTCTGCCGTTCTAAGATGATGTGGAGGAGGAGGCATCTGTTGCAGATGTTCTGCTATCTGAAAGCCGTCTTGCTGAGCAGCAAGCGCAAAGGCTATTTGCCTAAGTAAAACATTGATGCCTTCAAGAAGTGGTTGATGGCTGGTCTAGAACATGGGATCCCAACATGTCAGTTGCCACTCCCAGGTGTTCACAAAATGTTTTCTGGGGGGTGGGGTCCCACCCACTCTCCACAGTTCCCTTCTGCCTGCCCCATGCCTCCTCTTTCCCTTGTTACCCCCCCCCAGCTAAGCTCTTGTTGTTCCTTGTGTGGGGCATCGAGGGGGGGCTGGCTGCATGCGCTCCTTCTGGAGGGTGAATACATCATCACCCATTAATTTTAACTCTCCTTTGTTACCTCCACATCCCAGAGCCCATTAAGGGACTGCGGGTGGCGGGGGGGGGGAGAGGCAAGTGGCTTTAATAAACCCTCAGCTGGGCTGCCCAGTTGTACGTAGAACCAGCGGATTCAGTGTCCGGTTACAATTATTTTTTCAGAAATATATGTTTTAGGTGCCTTACGTACCCCATTAAAAGTGCCTTTCGATGCCAATGTGGA